TTCATCCCATTTTGCCACAATTGGCAATATGGGATAAAATAAAACCTGCTGTAATCTGTTCCCCCTGTCTAAATCAGACAAAAAAGGCCCCAGCTTTTTCATTTTTGGCTTATAAGCATCTTTTATGATGCAAAAAATGAAAAAGCTGGGACCTTTTTGGCCTGATTTAGACAGGGGGGAACAGATTATAGCAGGTGGCCTGCTATAATTTGTTCCCCCTGTCTAAATCAGGCAAAAAATGCCCCAGCTTTTTCATTTTTGGCTTGTAAGCATCTTTTATGATGACAATTTATTCCTGAAACTTTGGATGTGATGGACCTTTATTTCTTAAAGTTATAAGGGGGGAACAAATTATAGCAGGCCACCTGCTGTAATCTGTTCCCCCCTGTCTAAATCAAGCCAAAAATGTCCCAGCTTTTTCATTTTTGCATCATAAAAGATGCTTATAAGCCAAAAATGAAAAAGCTGGGGCCCTTTTTGCCTGATTTAGACAGGGGGGAACAGATTATAGCAGGTGGCCTGCTATAATTTGTTCTCCCCTTATAACTTTAAGAAATAAAGGTCAATCACATCCAAAGTTTCAGGAGTTAGTTGTCATCATAAAAGATATTTTTAAGCCAAAAATGAAAAAGCTGGGGCCTTTTTTGTCTGATTTAGACAGGGGGAACAGATTATAGCAGGTGGCCTGCTATAATTTGTTCCCCCCTTATAACTTTAAGAAATTAAGGTCAATCAACTCCAAAGTTTCAGGAGTTAGTTGTCATCATAAAAGATGTTTAAAAGCCAAAAATAAAAAAGATGGGGCCTTTTTTTGCCTGATTTAGACAGGGGGGACAGATTACAGCAGGTTTTATTTCATCCCATATTGCCAGTTCTGGCAAAATGGGATGAAATAAAACGGCTGATGTTAGAAGACAAACTGTTTATTAAGGATAGTACAACATAGATAAATTGTACGTTACTATAAACACAGATATAGATTTAAGTACTAAATTTCAACCAGGAAAAAAATATTTCCTTCTGCATATAGTCTTTAATAATTACACGTGCACTCCATTTTCTATTTCATTTTTATTACAAGTATATGGTTTACAACAGTTTTCAATGGGATGAGAACATTTGGACACTGTGAAACAATGAGAGATTTTTTTAATAAACGTGTGGAAAAGAACAAGGATCTGTTTGCTTTCAGAGGAAGGAGTAGACACTGCTGTCAGCGACCAGCTTTCAAGCAAACGTTTGTTTTATAATCAGTTTTAAATCAATATCACTGGCGATATTCTGCTATAATATGTGAAGTAAAGAATAAAACAGTAAAGCTCAACTTTCATACACGTAAAACCTTTCAAATTTCAAGTTCTGCACGTTGGAATTGAAGCGGAGTTAACTCGGGTTGTTCTTCCTACTCCGTGCGCGCTCCCGACGAGGGGATACAAATTTTCGCAGGGATAACTACCTTGGCACGACACCGGGACTGGCAGCCTCTCACACAACACGATCGTGTCATTTCTGGTAAATAATTGTGCCGAAAGAACAGCCGCGTGTGGGTTAACTCGACTTTCCACCTATTATGGTGGTTTTCCAACGATGCACCGCGCCCGAGGTAAACATTGACGTCACCTGGCGCAGACCGATACTACATGCTATCACACATAACAATTCCCCCTCGATTACATGGGAAGAAATGAATTCACCTGCAAGTCTTTAACTGTGTTTATCCCTCTCTTCATCAACAGCAAACTCTGTGGATTTGGTCAAATTTGATCATTATTTGCCAAAGTTATCAGAGGGAAATCATATATTTTAGCCGCCTGATAGAATCCGTTTCCCCATAACATGGGAAAAAAAATAAACAAATCCAGTGAAACTGTCATTATTTTTCATATATCATGTTTAAAACATTTATTATTTTATATTTTTAAATCCAAAATAGTTGTTGGATTATCTTTATTTAATGTATTTTAATTCTCAATTCCAAATGTCTGCAATAGCATTGCTCCAGACATTTGGAATTAAGAAACATCTTCAAACTTGGAAAACAATGCCCAGTGGTTTTGGTTTGAACTTTTTTTTTTTTGAATATTTATGAATTGTTAGATAAACATTTAAACAGAAAATATATTTCATAAAGATAATCAAAGGGGGAACGGATTCTATCAGGGGGCTAAAATATACGATTTCCCCCCTCATAACTTTGGCAAATAATTATCAAATGTCACTAAATCGAGAGGATTTGTTGTTGATGAAGAGGAATAAACACAGTTAAAAATGTGCAGGTAAATTAATTTCTTCCCATGTTATGGAGGAGGAACGGATTATTTCAGGCAGCTGAAACATCAAGTCTCTCCTCCTCCCATATCTTTGGGAAGTAAAAAGCATCTGTTTCAGATTCTCAAAAATTGTTTGTGTGATATCATGCAGTATACTAGGAATGTCCTTAATCCAGTAATCTGTCATATTTTACATTAGAACGGGATAAATCAGAAAGTCTACACTCTCATCTTTTCAGGAATATTTGTGTCCTGCTATCAGCCAGTTTCCATCCTCTGATATCAGCAATTAAAAATGATTAATACTCACTACTGTTGGAAAACTGTTTGGGGACTGACTTTTATTTCTGTCAGGTTTAAGTGACAGAAGTTGGAAAAAGACGATTTTCTTGGCGTTTAAAATAACACAAAATAGCTTTAAAGCACCTTGTCTATTTATTTATTTTACAATTTTGTAAACAACAGCTGCTGATTAAACTGGATGTTGCAACCGTGACATGATTATAGCTGATTTTAGCGAGAAATCGATCAGACGCGTCGTGAAAATGGTCCCATCCGCCATGTCCGCCTCTCTGGCTTCAATGCGATTCCCGAAATAAGGGGAACAGAATTTCATACACCACCGGGACAAACAACGTCTGGAAGTCAGTCAGAGCTTCACATCCTTGGAACATCAGTCTGTTTAGCAACAGCCATTGGTGAGAACTTCTTCTTCTGCACGGGAATGCTACGGGCTGCTTTACTGCCTTTGCTGCCACCATCTAGTGAAATCCAGTACTGCACATTTTACTCAGATCAGCTCAGAAGCGAGATCCGGGGCTCTAGGGGAAACATCCAGGGCTGCAGCCCAAGTAGCCGCCCCCTAGATCCGCCACTGTGATCAGAGTTGAAGGGAAGACAGATTGAGGTAAATACAGGGTAAACCTTATGGACAATATGCCAGAAGCTACAGAAGACCTGAGAGTGGGAGTTACACCTTAAGGGCTGGTTATCCTCCCGCAGCAGTGTGTCGCAGTGAGCTTCTCCCAGATATTTTTGCTTTATGCCCAATATTGGAACATGGTCTTCGTTGTGTTATTCCACGCCACAACGCAAGAGGGAGGGGGGGGTTGCACATTTGTGTTCACTGCAACACATGCAGACGACCTGGTTTCTGAGTATAAATCAGCCTTTGAAGCGGCAAAAAAGCATTTGATAACCGGAGCCAAAATTAATCAGTACAGATAAGGAAAAGTACTTAGGCGAAAATGGCCAGGTCAGTGTTTCAACCAGCCTGGCTAAGCTAGAGACAACTTTTCAAAATTTAATCAGGGTCTGAAAATCACTGCTACAAAGTGCATTATGTAATCCATCCCCACAAATCTGTATTTATAATGTGAGAAATCCTCTCTTAAAAAAATCATGGCGATGCGTTGCTACTAATGTGCACGTTTTTGGATTTACACAAAGAACATCTCTGCTACACAATGGTGCACGCTCTTTTTCTTTTCTTTATTCTTCTTCTCTTCTGACAAGGGGTTATCATATTTAATGTCTTTAACATTTAAAATATTCCAAATACGGATCGCAGGCTAAAACCAAATCTATGGTCGTATCAACAAAGAAACCAGCTTCTAAAAAAACAACGCGAATCAAAAGTGATGTTAGGATTGACAACAGTCGTCAATATCACTAGGAAGCCGAAAGATATATTTTAGCCTAACTGGCTCAAGCTACATCCTCGGTGAAATAAGCTGCTCCATCTGTAAAATCTACAGTCCTGAACCTTTTACCAACCAAAGCTGTAAAACCTCAACTTTGCACCACAGCCACTCTGAAGGTGTTTCTCCCACTGCAGCAGTGAATAGGAAATGTGAGGCACATTCAGCTAAAAATTTCATGTCCAACGCTATCCACTATGCAGAAGTGCAGCCTGAAGATGAAATAAAGGAGATTCTTAAAACTGCTTACTTTGTTGCATATAACAAAATGACCAAAGAAAAAAATTACTTACATATACATTGATCTGAGGTAAGAATATATTAAGCTGCGTAAGTAACAAGTTTTTTCCCTGGAAGGTTTTTCCATCCTAAAAAATATGTTCTTCCTTTAAGCCCAAAGTTAAATGAGGAAAAAAAGGAGATCATGCAGGGTAAAGGGCAAGAAAGAGCAGCTGAAACAATAGCTAGGAAGATAAACAGTGCAAAATAAAAACCAACATATTAATCTGAGGTTTGATTAGCACAACTTAAGATCATGTAATCATTAATAATTCCCCCAAAAATGCATAAATCCCCTCACTCTCAAACATATAAGGGTGGAATTACCCCCAATTTCAAAAGTTAATTTCAGGCACTGACCAATGGACAAAAAGTTCAGGCTCTACATTGGTTCAAAGTAGAGTCAAACCCCAAATACTTGCATTAATTGGTAGTAATGATTTAAAGGGTCTTGTCTAAATGTTATTACTGTAAAGGATTCAGCTCAAGTACTATTTATTTCACTTCATAATTATGCACTATTCTGTGTTTTTTTATTACCTGGCAGAATGTGAACATGTCCAACGTGTATGAATACATATGCATAGCACTGTATGTGATGACAAAGATGTGTGAACTTTAAAAAACAAGGAAATTACACATCTACTTGGATGATATATGCAGAATTTGAAAAGAATATTTGGTTCATCATCTTCTAATCTGTTCCAATGATGCTGGTTCTGTGTGGTCAGATAGTATGCTTGGGTCTTACCTTTTCAGGAGTTTTGGTCCTGCTGTTGTTGTTGCTGTGAAACGCCTTAATGACGTCTTCATGGACGCGATCCAACAGCCACAATAGGAATTCCAAGGCATCATGCTGCGAGTTACCACGAAACTGCGATCCGTGCTTGGACACGACCGTCTGAGAGGAGACACAGCGACATGAAGACATTAACAACCTTTTAAATGTATTCTTACTCCTAATTTGTTTCATAAATTTCAGACGTTTTTTTCATCTTATATAAAATGCTAACAAAACATGAATTTGCAATTTTCAGGATTTTTCTCTAAACCCTTTTCATTCTGATACCCCTAAGTGATACGAAAATAAATCTAGTAAGCGTCAGAGGTTTATTAACTTAAAGGACGGATGGAAAATTGAAAAGCTACTACGACAGCAACCAAACAGAAAGAACAAAGTAAAATAATGTCGGGTATGCACTAGGGCAGAGTAGTTTCGATTCATACAGCTCTAAATCGAATAATTTCGATTCGATCTGTTTTTACAATAAAGAAAGTGGTTCAACTGTGTTTCAATACTGGTAGTGTGTAGCACAAGATACTATCAACTTAGTGGGTCCCCATAATGTCACATATCCAGCACATTATCTTTAGCTGTTTTAAATCCAAAATGGTTCCAGACATCAGACTTCAGTTGGGACAGCTTCCTGAGTTATGTGTTACTTGAGTTGGCATTTGCACAGACTTGCTCATTTGAATGTGAACGTCACGCGCGTCACTATAAAACTAATGAATCTCATACGCTACACATCGCTTTTGCAAAAATGTAAAGGAAACGATTCAAAATCGATTTTTTTACCCAGCCCTAGTATACACTATGATCATTTCCCGTACCAGACGTGGGCTGAAGAAAAAATCTTAGATGAATCTTTGATTGGCAGGTTCTAGGACGTCCGTTTTTACAGCCTTGCTCTTAAAGATGACTTGCATTGATTATTTGACAGCGTCTGATATTTAGAATGAGGATCCCACAGTATGACAGCTGTTACCTACATATCAGCAACTAGAAATGCAGCTCTAGATCGAGATGCACCACATTATATTGGTAATAAATAAATCATAGCTGTAACAGTTATAGAAGCATCTCAATAAGTAGCCTGATACATTTAAGCTGTCACATTAACTGTTTTAAACTGTTTATAAACATGAAGAAAATTAATATTATCTTGTCTATTTCAAATAGAAAGATGTATAAAGTGTCTTATTTATCCACTCATAAAACATTGTCATAAATCACGGGGAACCACAGGAGCTTAAGTAAATGGGGAGAGTTTTGGAAGAAGAGGGGCGGGTCTGCACGTTCAGAAAGGTGCTTACTTGCAAAAAAAGAAGGGAAAGAAGTGATAAGTTTGGCATTTATAAATGGGAAATAACCAGACCTTTCTGTGGCAATTAAACAAACCTGAACACACAAGAAGCTGAGAACAGGGAGCCAATGAACTGCTTTGTGGCATGGTGTGGAAACAATCCTGTGATACTGAATGTCAACAGAACAAGGAAGATGATTGCAGATTTCAAAATAAACAGGAAGATTTTTAATAGGGATGCACGATATTGGGATTTTGGCCGATATCCGATATGCCGATATTTTAAAACTCATGTAGCCGATAACCGATATCGATACTGATGTTAAAGCTGGACAAAAATAATTGAAAATAGCAGTTTTGTTATCCATTTCTGACACTTTGAAAAATAATATACTCAAATATATTTTCATATGCTGATATCAAATAGATTTTTAAAAACGCGGTATCGATCTATTTTACTTTCAAAATCTCGTGAAATTTCATCGTTCGGTTACAAACTCTTGTGATATTTTGCAAATTCTTGTGAGATTTTGTTAGTAAAATAGATCGATACCGCGTCAATATTTTAACATATAAAAATATGGCAAAATTTTGTGAATTTTCGGGGGATTTCGTAGCATAACGATGACATGTAGCAATATTTCATTAGTAAAAGAGATTGATATGGTGTTTTTAAATTGCAATATATCAGCATATGAAGATATTGTGATATTTTAATGTATCAATATTTTTTTCCCTCGTCTTTAGAAGTTTTTAAGTCTGTAAAAAAGACGTTTTTGATGAAGAAGAAGAAGTAGTTTTTTTTTTTTTAGACTTTAGAAACTCAGATGCTGATCAAATATCGGGTTAAATATCGGTGGGGTGGCCGATGTCCGATATTCAGTTTTAAGGCCGATACAGGTCGATACCGATAGGGGGCCGATTATATCGTGCATCCCTAATTTTTTAATAAAAACAGTTTCTTCAGTCAGACGATACAGAATATGCCTACAACTATCAGCACCTACAACAACAACTAGGTGAATGAAAAAAAACTACAAAAAACTATGAGTTACTGCAACATTTAATTTCCCTTAGGGATTAATAAAGTATTTTTGAATTGTACCAAAGATAGTTAATTCTGTGTCCCAGAGTGTGTCATTAAACAAGCTGTATACGGTTACTAAACTCAAACTGTGCAGATAGGCCATTTGGAGGGCATCAATTAGTGAAGCAACAGGGGGCGCATGGTAACTGCAGAGGGTCAGATACACCTAATAAATATGGGCAGCCACAAAATGAAAGTCATAACAATTTTCTTTCAAAGCTTCCCTCAAGACAGGTAGCAGCAAACATAGGAAAAGATGCTCTGATCAAACAAGACTAAAAGTAATTGATGCAAAATGGTTGCTTCACATTATCCTGAATACACCATCTGTATAATGAAACTGTTGTCATGCTACGAGAATGTGTTTTTTCAGCAGGTTCAAGCTGTTCGCGTTGATGGGAAAATAAATGAAGCTAAATCATGGAAACAAAAACAAAAGACCTGCTTGAAGTGCCAAAACACATAAGCCTGGAATAAAGGTTCACTTTTCAGCAGGACAGTGATACTAAACATACAGCCAGAATTCAAGAGATTAGGTAAAAGCACATTCCTGTGTTAGAAAAGCCTAAAGTCCAGAGTAAAAGTCCCAAATAGCAAGAAGCTTAAGAGAAGCTGTTAAGTGTGTTTGTGAAAAAGAGGCTTCTAAATGAGCAGCTTTATCCTGCATTCTCAGAACAATGATCAGAGAAATCATAGAAATGCAAATTTCCACAAATCACGACATGAATGTCTGCAGACAAATACTTCCACTGAAGCTGTTAAATATCTCCCTTTTGCTTAAGCTGAAACATAGTTTTTTTGCAAGTTAAAGCAGGTAGTGATACCTTTCCCTTCTATTGAACCAAATGAAAAGATGTCCAGTTATCTAAGCAAAGCCCTGAATAATATCATCTCTAAAAGCAGACTGAGAACTACTTAAGCTCTCACGCTGTGTAACGGCACTTTAAATGCAAACGACACCCAAGCTAATTAGGCATGCAGTTGGCCTCATGAACCTCAGATGACAGCTTATTGAAACAGATTATATTAGACAGAAGTGCAGACATTCGCTGCAAAAAACACTCTAGCCTGGTAGTAAGAATGATAGATTGAAAGTAAAATGATTTTGGAAAACCACAGCAAAGTAAGCACCGGAGTGTCGTTGAGCAAAGCAGGGAACTGAATACTACAGGAACCTTCACTGATATAGGTTGTAACAGAGTTGGCCAGAGAGATAAAAAAAATCAGTCATGTTTTTATTCAATTGAAAGTGAAACCTGAATGTTGTCTTTGAGGTGTTACTAAGACGTGGATAAGAGGACGATGCAGATAAACTCCTGCAGGACAGATGAGGCTTTCTTATCACTTATACACATCTTCTGATCTAGACTTTAAAGGCAAGCTTTCCTCCCCTGATATATGTCAGGGAAGTCAAAAAGCAATAAATGCTGTCATCACACCATCAGTTTGTTCAACATCGCAGAGATAAGTCAGTCAGAAGATATAAAGGTGATATTCAGGGTTGTTTGTCACGCCTTTCCTGAGATAAAACTACTTCTGTTATCATAACTCTGACAGGCTTTCGTGGTTTAGATGTAGATGGCAGTTTCCAAAAGTCACAGGTTTTGAAATACATAAAATGTTTTCTCTCAACATCCATGTGGCTAAAATTGATTGTAATTAGATGCTGTGGAGACTAAAGCGGTTTCGTTAGAGAGAGATTACTTGGGGTGTCAGTCATTTGTGTTTGATGTCTTAAAGCAGCAATTTTCGAATCATGCTCCCCCTGCAAGAAATTTAGAACACATAACTTTTGTACAGTAAACTCTTCCCTCTAATGCAAACTAGATTACAGCAGCTTTTTAGCTGCAAATTGTTACTTTTATAGGAATTGTTTAAGCGCAAGTCTGAATCCTGAGGAAACGGCTTTTCATTTGGTCTCATAAGGTGGTTCAGCAACTCCATGTGTAATGAACTACAACCACATTCTGCAATAACTGCCCCAAAATGTAATACAATCCATGGATGCATTGTGTAATACTTCTGACACATTATTAACTTTATTACTTTTTGCTTGGGTCTTAAGAAGTGAATAGGGGTTTTCCCTACACAAACGTAATGAGTTGACCATTCATACTAAAAAGCTTTATAAATTATCCTTCTTCTTAACTGGATTATGTGCCAAAAACAAATACCATTGGCCAAGTCACTGGTGACAAAGTCTTCACTCACCAAGGGGCTGAAATTCTAATCACCTGTTTGGTAATTTGTCAACAAGAGCTTCACATAACAAATAACTTTGGGCTTCAAAAGAAATATCTTATGCAGAGGGAGAATTCTAACTAATTACAGATAGAAAATGCAAATATTTAGGTGTATAAACTTAAAATTAACACATTAGATCATCTGCTTGGTGGAAAATTCAGTTTTTATTGATTTTTCAACACAGATTGTTCTGGTATTGCATACATTAAGAAATATATATTTAGATGATGTTTAGTTGATGAATAAATAACTAAAGAACCAACTTCTAGAGGTTATTATATGCAGAATCTGACACTGTCTGACATTTTTTGAAATAGAGGAGTGCTGCATTTTTGGAAAAAACATCCAAAATGTATTCATACTAATATATTTAATGCTACAGAAAATACAAAATATGTGAATGGAATTAATTGCATTTTGATGGCAGTCCTAGCAAATTGCAGTTTTGTCGCATTTGATTAAATTTTGAGTCTGAATTTATAC